TATTTTAATTATATTTTAATTATATTCTTATTATATAGTAAATATATTTAGCAAAATCAAAGGTTTCTGCAAAGTATTTATTTTATTGTGTTCACCAGCAGCAAGTCGAGGGAATTTTTAATCTGTTAGATTTAAAAACCCATCCAAATATGTCACGAATTTCAAAGGAATCTAAAATTCGTTTAGCTTCAACTCAGATTGAACGTGAAATTTTGAATTCGGGTCTTGAGAAAATACGATCTGAAAGAATACGACAAAAAACTGCTGTATTGCAAGACATCCAGCAAATACAATTCGTTGAAGAAGCTTCATCAAATCTTTTAAATAACTTGTTAAAATAGTATAACTAGTTATATATTGAATAATAAATACATATACTGTATCGGTACACATAAATAAATTTATCATTATTACATATTGCATTAATTATATATCGATTAATATATAACGTACATATATTATAAAAAAAAATCTGCAATAGTAAATTTTTATATGATACCACATATATTTTTGATCTACATAGCTGACAGCCCACCCCATTGTGTCAAGGATTTCAAAAAAGAAAAAAAATTTTATAGGCGATAATAATCAATTTTGTTATCGCATCTATGTAAGAAATGTATCTATAAGCAAAAACGATTATATATATATCTATACATTATTATTTTATAATATCTATTGATTCAAAAAATTGGTTTAGAGTCTAATAGTCCGAATTGATCTATGGTAGCAAATTTATGTGTACAAATATTTATTGAAAGAATTATTCCCTCACTGCAATACTGTAATAAATAAGATTTGTGTGATGGGCAGTAAAAATAGTCCCTTTTCGTATTAGGGTTTAAATTATGTAGTCCTTTTTTTAAAATAATCATTTGTACTTTGCATTTAAGATTAAACAATTATAATAAGTATTTACGAATACCCCACAATTTTGATATAGTGATCGGGGTATAATTTTTTAAAAAAAAAATTACAAATTTTAAATATTTGCGTATAAATAAAATGTGACCCATTTATCGATCCGATATTATAGGATCAAAGTTAAAAATTCTGGGGATTTCAGTGGGTTAACAATGGATGCCTTTAAAAGTTATTATAACATTAAAATTGCTATATACTTCTATTGGTTTATGCACACGCATTTATTTGTAAGTTAAAAAATCGGCTGTATGACGAACCAAAATTATAGACGAAATGGAAATTTCATATACAAATATAGTCTTGATGGAAAATTTCTGAGTGATACTTCACTGAAAGTTTATCTCCAATAAGAAACTATAAATCTGAATTTAATTGATAATCAGTTTACTAAGAACGAAATATAATCTCATGATTAGAAATGGAACATAAAGTTACCGTTTTTTCAAAGTTCTGTGTTCCTACATAAATGGTATATAATTTTAGGATCATTTAAAGTGTAGATTTTGAACTGATTTTATAAATATATATCGCTTAAGGACACCTGATTTTGAAAACAAAAAAGTAAAAAATAAGTAAAAGCGGATCAAAATTAATTAGAAAGCATAGTAGTTGCAATCTCTTTGACGACTAAAACCAGTTAATAATTTGTTTAATTCTATTGAAGTAAAAGGACCATCTAAATACTTTTTATCTATAATACTACAATAAAATGACTTTAAGTCGTGGATTATCTATCTTGAACAATCAAACATATTATAATGATGAGTCATAGCATGGTATTATCATTATATGAAGTGCGTTAAAAAATAATAGGCAGAGTTTATTATTTAGAATCACTCTCTATTAGTATTTATATTATGTATGTTTTTCTAAGCTTTTATAAGAATTGTATATAAAATTTTTACCTAAAACTATTCACGTTAGGATTAGTATTTTAAGGTTAGATTTGTGCATTTAATGGTTTTGGGGTGTAGAATATTTAAGTTCATTCTTTACAGTATTACGTTCTGTGCACACGTAATACAAATTTTATCTACCGGACTTTGTACTATAAAAGTAAGTCTTCAAATCATTCAATACTGAAAAATTTTTTTTTTCTATTTCAAAGACCTCCAATTAGGAGACGAAATCTCATACTTTATTATTTTATCTATTATACAGACTCTCAATGAACTTTTCACGCGTGTCAATACTATATAGATCATTTATTGTATTTCAAACGTTTGCGTCAATTTTTGGTATTCAATCACAAACTATTCAACCAATGTATTCTCAAAAACCGCGCACTTATGTGACCAAAGCATGTACCAATTGCCAAAGGTGCACAAGAAATGCACTGGAAAGGCTTCCTGCGTAAACTGTATGAAACGAAATCTTGAATGTATTTTCGTCAAAAAACAAAGATTAAAATAATAAATAATCCAAATCAATACTGAAACACAGATTAAGTACTACGCAGAATGACACATTATTAACTTATCGTACGCCTTTTCAAAATAGTCATACTGCATTCGATTATTTAACTCCTGAAGCGTATTTCTTTCCTCAAGAACATGGAAATTCCAATTATGATGATATGACTAATTGTCAAAATATTAATTCTATTAATAGCACACCATTATTATTTCACGATTATAATGTTGCCACATCATTATCTTTAATTGATTATGTAAGCAATAGTTCTTTTAGAGTGCCACCCACTTTGCTAAGCAATCAACTTCTCTTGTCTTTTGCACCTTTTAATTTGAGTGGTTAGTTCGCTTATGATTTTCTTAAACATTCCGAAATAAATATTTAACAATTTAGGTCTAGTACATTAAACAAATAAAAAAAAGGTATTTAGTCGATTATTTATCTTACCTCAAATTTAACAATATACTTTTGATCATATTGTAGAAATAACAATTCCTGATTTTCGTTATCTCTAGACTCTAGACTCAATGCATTTGTCACACAGATATTTTATATGAAAGCTTTATACTTACAGGTTTTAATTTGAATGTGGAAGTATAGTTCAGGGAGGACGATAGAAAATAAAAAATTACCACTTACTATATGCCATACACACGTGTTTATATTCATATCTTCGATACATTGATGTAAAACTATTCAAATTTAACTTTTAAAATTCTATATAATTTAAAAATGAAGAATCTATATGTATCTAAAGTAAAATATATTATCACTTTATGAACTTTAGTTGAGTAATAATGCAAATATAATTTTCACTATTCCAAAATATTTTGAATGACAAAGGTAAGTATAAACATTATGAATCTTAATTATAATGCTAAGATAATGTTGCATACCATATATGTAATACTGTAAATGAATATACAAAATAATAAATATAAAATAATGACTATATCATAATAAATATATGCTTAAAGCTATAAACTAAAAAAAACTTCGATTTTAATATATTTTTAGATTAAAAACAAATAAAAACAACCAAAGAAACTAATAATTAGCAGGAACCAGGAACACGGAAAAGTTCATATATATATAAATTTGAATAAAGTGGAATTTCTAGCGTAAAAAAAAGGTATAACCCGGAATTTTTAGAATTGGGATAGTCACATGATTTATATTAATTTTGATTGGTTCGAATATATTATAGATTAAATAGTATCGATTCTATAGAAAAATGGGTTCTTTTGAATATGTATGTAGAGAGCTTCGGTAATAATAAAGAGGCAATAATGTCTTAATAAATTCCAGATATAAAGTATCAGTTATAAAAACAATTCTTGAAGCATTAAATTTTTTCAAAGTCATGAAACCTGTAGTAATAATTTAAATTTTTACATTGCAAATTTAGCCCTGAAGAATTGATATATTTAGTGATCTATCGAAACGCGAATGTACACAATTCTACTGATGTTAAATTTGCTATAGTGTAATCAAAGCTTTCACTTGCAGGTTTTCAACTTTTAGATACTCTATTATAATGGCATATAATATTAACAATAAATAAAAAATTTTATATCGGTATAATAATACGGTGTTCTATTTGGGCCAAAAGTGCAATTTTTGTGAAAATTGAAAAATTCGAAAATTTGAAAATTGAAAAATTCAAAATTGAAAAATTCGAAATTTCGAAAATTGGAAAATTCGAAATTTCGAAAATTGAAAAATTCAAAAATTGAAAATTTAAAAATTTAAAACTTCTAATTATAGTAATTTAATTGCCAAATATGAAGTGTGGCAAAAGTATCGTTTTTGATAGATCTGCTTGCACCCAAAATTGATTTACGTTCTTGATGCGTTTATAGAATAGACTAAGAGGCTGTACCAATTTTTTAAAAATTTGAGCGAAGCTATCTCAACAACCACTGGACCAAATTTGATAAATTTTTTTTATTTGAATTCTATGAATTCGTAAAATTTAAATAAAAAATAATTTATCGAATTTGGTCTGGTGGTAATGGAGGTATCTTCACTCAAAGTTGAAGAAAAATCGAAACGTCTATTTAAAAAAGCTGCATCAATTTTTTTAAAAAATTTGAGCGAAGCTATCTCCATAACCACTGGACCAAATTTGATAATTTTTTTATATTTGAATTCTATGTATCCTATAGAATTTAAATAAAAAAAAATCATCAAATTTGGTCTGGTGGTAGTGGATATATCTTCGCTCAAAGTTAAAAAAAAAACAAACCACCTATCAAAATTAAAGCTGCACTAATTTTTTTTTAAAAAAAAACTTTGAGCGAAGCTATCTCCACAACCACTGGACCAAATTTGATAATTTTTTTTATTTGAATTCTATGAATCCCATAGAATTCATATAAAAAAAAATTTATCGAATTTGGTCTGGTGGTAGTGGAGATATTTTCGCTCAAAGTTAAAAAAAATGAAACACCTATCAAAATTAAAGCTGCACCAATTTTTTTTAAAAAACTTTGAGTGAAGCTATCTCTATAACCACTAGACCAAATTTGATATTTTTTTTTATTTGAATTCTATGAATTAATAGAATTTAAATAAAAAATAATTCATCAAATTTGGTCTGGTGGTAATGGAGATATCTTCGCTCAAAGTTAAAGAAAAACAGAAACGCCTATTTAAATTAAAGTTGTGCTAATTTTTTTTAAAAAAAACTTTGAACGAAGCTATCTCTACAACCACTAGACCAAATTTGATAATTTTTTTTTATTTGAATTCTATAAATCATAGAATTTAAATAAAAAAAATTCATCAAATTTAGTCTGGTGGTAGTGGAGATACTTCGCTCAAAGTTTTTTAAAAGAATTGGCGCAGCTTTAATTTAGATAGACATTTTGGTTTTTTTTCAACTTTGAGCAAAGCTATCTCCACTCCCACCAGACCAAATTCGATGAAGTATTTTTTTATTTAAATTCTATGAATGCATAGAATTCAA